AAAAAAAAAAAAAAAAAACCACTTTGAGATATCGTCTAACTCCCATAAGAGTGGCTCACATAACAAAATCCCAAAATTATAGATGTTGGCATGGATGTGGAGAAAAAGGAACACTTCTGCACTGCTGGTGGGAGTGAAGCTAGTATGACCCTTTTGGAAAGAAGGATGGAAAATACTCAGGGATCTAAAAGTAGACCTGCCGTTTGATCCTGCAATTCCTCTACTACGTGTATATCCATCCAAAAGACCAAAAATCACTTTATAACAAAGATATTTGCACCAGATTGTTCACTGAAGCTCCATTCATAATTGTCAAGTCATGGAAGAAGGCTAAGTGCCCATCAACCCATGAATGGATTAATAAATTGTGATATATGTATACTATGGAATATTATGCAGCCTTAAAAAAGATGGAGACTTTAACTCTTTTACGTTTACATGGATGGAGCTGGAACATATCCTACTTAGTAAAGTATCCCAAGAATGGAAGAAAAAATATCCAATGTACTCAGTACTATTATGAAACCAGTTTACAATCACTCACACTTTCATATGAAGAATAGATCACAATTATGGCCCAAAAAAGGAAGGAGGAGGGAAGGGTGGAAAGGGAGGCAAGAGGTCAGATGGAGGGAGGGTGAATGGTGGGATCACACCTATGGTGCATAATGCAGGGGTACATGTCATACCTATTAGTATAGAGTATAAATGTCTTAACACAATAATCAAGTAAATGAGATGAGGTATATATTAACCAGTGTGATGTAAGCATTCCTAATTCTGTATGAAATCACATTGTACCCCACAAATACATTAATGTATACATAATCTATGTGTTTATGATTTAATAAAAAATCAGTATTCATAGGTCCTTTATTTTTCTAAAGGAGAAAATACAAACTTTTCTTAAAACATCTCTGTGGTTTTTCCTTGATATTTTTCCTACATGGTAATATTCATATTTTCTGTATAATCAACAATCTTGCACTAAAATAGTTTAGAAACTAAACATTTTCAATAAATGCCAAAATAGTGTATAATTCTTTCTCTTCTCATGGTTCTTCTCCAAAACCCCACTTTGGGAAAGGCCTTTTGGTGATGCCAGGACTCTACTCTCACTGCTGTGCATGGAATGCCAGGAGAACTAGAAAAGGTGACTTTGGGGCAGAACTGCACTGTCAGGACATGTTTCTTTTTTCTAAACTGAGCCTTTGGTGACCCCGTTGGACTCATGCCCAGACAGAGCTCAGAGTTTAAAAACTCCAGCCACTCCCCAGGGCCAAATAGCAGCAACATTAGGGGACGAGGGGGCGTTAGGGAAATCAACCACAGGTTGTTGTGAAAGGGCAAGAAGTAGCCACAGGGAATTCCTCCTAACAAATCCATGAAATCCAGGAAATTGAATACACACTGAGGCTAAGCTCTTGGATTCTTCTATCACAAGAGGATACGGCAGTTATACAAAAAGAGGAAGCATGTGGAAAGGAAATAAAATTGAAAACCCTTTACCGAAATCCAGAGCCCTCCAATGAAATTATCAAAGGGGAAACAAGAAATCCTGACTAAAATGATACCTAGACTTTTCACCATTAGCCCACTTCCTGTGTGATGTCAAGGGGTAGGAGGCTGAAAATCTGTTGGCGCCTCAAGATCAGGATGAACACAAAAGCCTGTTTTCAGCCCACTCTAGCTTCCATTGGCCATGAATGTGAAGCATGCTTGATACTGTTTGCTTTGTTTATGTTGAATTTTTTAAGTTCATTATTTGTTTTCAAGTGGATTTCTTTATGTTTTTAGCTCTTTTTTTTGTTTTAAAATGGTAATGTTATCACTGAAATAATTGTTTCCTCTTAGACACAGCAGTGTTGCATCCCCTTTAGAG